ACATATGCACACAAGGCTTTATTATCAAGGCAGGACAGACATGCGAGGAACGACGTAAAACAAGCATTTGTCTAGATATACCATATAATGCTCGTTCCCTAATGATGGGGAACGTGTACGCCATAAAGAGGGGACATCGTCCAGCGTAAGGAATTTTCTAGCAGGGAGTGTATTCATTTGAGCGGCTACAGTACCCGCGCATAGCTTGAGGAGTCATGAGGTGGTCACCCCTCAAGAAGCTTCTAATGGGAACTTGTCAGATCTGCTTGTCCGAAATCCGGCAGACCACGAAGCTGAGCGGAAGGCTGGTGGTTTCCGTTCTTTTTCATCTTCAGAAGGGTTATGGCTAAATTATTCCATTACGTTCTTTGGCCACTGTCTATTCGATGAGGTATGTGAATTAAGAAGTGACTCCATTTGGAATACATTGGTACATTTTCTGGCAAATATTTCTTTGTCGCGAGTAATTACATTCCTAAGTGGTTTTATTGCTCACTGGAACAGTTCTTCGTTTTCTTGAGTTACTAAATATAACTACGTTTCAAAGCTGTGTATTCGATAGTGTCATTCATTCTTCCTATGAACTTAATTTACTGAGACACCGGACTTTGCAGTTGATTATGTACCTTATTGTTTACGGTAGTCAACACTCGATAACTCTGATAAAGTTTAAGAACCTTTGAAATTATGTTTAATCGGGTATCGACCTGTCAACGTAGACGATGTTGTGAAAACTATGAAACTCCAACACCGATTCAACTTTTTCTATATTATTCTTTTTTGTTGTGATTTGCTATTTCAACAGTGGAGCCGCATTGCGTAGATGGTCGTTTACTAAGATTCGTTTTTGACTTAATGTTATCAGTAAATCTTCTGATATCAGATAGGCGAATGGAACGATTGTATATTTTTTCAGCATTTTAAGCGATGCATCGTCTTCCACCCTGCTTATACAGTTTATGCCTGTTTTGCTTCACTTATTGTTTGAAAATGTATGTATTGACTCTTCCAACTCCCTCCACCATCTTGCCTAAAAGTTTACTTCTTTAAATGACAGAGCGAAATGAATCTGACTCTGCTGCATTGACCTTATTGCCTAGTTTCTAATCTAAACCGTCTTTTTCTTGGCGAAATTGTTTCTCGTTCTTTTTCCCTCGGGAGAACGCTGGTTTCTTTGAGCGAAATGAAACGATTGAAAATGAAACTTGACTTGGTCTACTGGCTTTTGCCTGACTTTTGATCATTGCTCTTTTGCCACTTTTGATCATTGCTCGCTTTTCCATTGAGTTCGTCATAAAAATGGACGTCATTAAACCTTTTTCAGGGGAAAAATCAAAATTACTCTGAACCTGTCTTCGGTAAATGCCACGTGATTACTTTGCTTAGTAGTCAGTTTTAAATTTTGCGCACAACTATTTTGACCCCGGAACGTGTATCTTCCCTTAGTGATTGACCTTCATTCGAGCACTGTTTTTAGCTTCAGAAATTCTTGGATGGTAATGGTGTTATTGCGGCGCCTGATGACCGACGTTAAGTGCGTGTCTGTGCTTCTATTTTTACCGGGAAGAATCTAAACATGCTTTTGCAAATAAAGTTCTACATTGACTGTGAAGAGAAATATGGTTTATGGGTCCGATGCATTTCAGATCCGCAGTTGTCAGTTTTTGGCACAGAACCAACATTCTATTTGTTCCAAAATAGAGTCTGCTTATTCATTGTATTCTTGTATTTGTTGAGATCGTCACTTTCATTTCAGCCATTCGTTGAGTCATTTCCATATGCAAATGTCCATGACTTTTGATGTCCGCTCTGTTTGTAGCTTCTCAGCGCTTTTGGTGCGACACCGGTTACCTCATCGTACAAAAAACAGCTTCACTCTGAAAGCAGATCTGACTCCACGTTGTTTCTGCATGTTGCTTGCTGGCCTCTTGATCGACGTCTGCCGTGTTTCGGCTCCCACAGGCCAGCAGAAGGGATTTGATACGTGTTTCGTAATTGTTGATCTCACGTGGTGCATTTTGAAAGTACTGAAGGTTGGACAAGTCATAGAAACGTGCAGAAAACCGGACGTCGTTAGTTCGTGTTGTGCATTGGTCGGTTCTTGGGTTGTTCTTGCTTTTTTTCTCTTCTTCCGTAGAAGCATATTTGTTTTAGTCGGTTTTTCCAGAAACATTTCAAAAGTGTTCAACCGCTCTTGAACCGTTAG